ATGAGGTAATACAGATGTGAATCTCCTGTGAAAATGTGTCACACGGATTAAATAAACTTTAAAATTGTATTAATTCACTATTTTATTAATTTTTGATAATGCAGAGGAATAAAACTATACATATTATAGAAGTATTCATGTTTTTTTTTATGCGAGAGTTATGTTTTGAGGCATTTATATCATTCGCTGTTTTGTTATTTATACACGAGCATCTGAAATTCCCAGCAAGTGTATTTCACGATTTTAATAAGAAGTAGATAGGGAAAAAACAAACTTTTGCTAAATAAAATGTTATATTAACACTTTTAATAAAAAGAAATCAATAAAAGTGATCGCTTACCGTTACTCTTGAAGAATTAATTCCAAAAATAGCCGTCGGTAGCGTAGACTTTTAAAAAAAACAATTTTTCGTCTTTCGAACGGCGTTTTCCTATCTCTTTCCTTATTAAATTTCAGAACGACACTTGCCAGCGCTCGCCGGAAGTGAGAATTCCGTGTGACACAAAACAATCGGCAATTTCACAGGAGATTCACATCTGTACTTACCTCATCTGTGGTAAAGTGCAGCCAGAACGAATAGAAAATGTATTGTGAAATTGGCATCGCGCGCATAAAAACTTCATTTTTACCGGTTTTGGACACCTGAATTCAACGTTTACGGTCGGAAATTAAAATTAGAAAGGTAAGAAAGTATTATTATCTGTTTTATTAGCCCTGAAAGTGTTTTTTTAAGTCAAATTTTGTGCTCTTAAATATGGCTAGTTCGGCCAGCCAGACATAAAAGAACATAGCTTTTCGTCCCATTTGCTGTATGTTTTCATTCGAAAGTAACATGAATATTACTTGAAACGAAATTTATAAACTATGAAAGTTACAATCCATGTACACTTTGACAATTCATGAACTCATTCTTGCAATAGATATACAGTATCTCTGATGTATATTACAGTGTCAGTATATATGTCTTTTCATCACCATTTCTCTGCCAAGTTTAATAAACATGTCTTTTTAAGTTCACTGTTTTCTTGAATTAGATATTTTTCTACTAAATTTTGCCCAACTTATTCAGATGCAGCCCAGATGGCATCAAACTATGTAGAATATAGTTTATAAACTGCCATATGCAGGCTAGTTTATAGATGGCTAACTTTAATTTAATGTACTTTCTGCTCTTTCTTCCTTTTTTAGTTGAAGTTAGTTGATGGTGTAATATATACGCATCCTCAGAAAAAGCTTTAACATGTAGTCCATAGGAAACTCTGTGCAAGAATGGAATGTGATGGACACACTTTGGAGGCTCTTTAGCAAATTAGCACCAACTAATTTGGACCTGTTATATGCTGAGAATTGCTGCACAAAAACATCTTCTAGATGCAGAACAAAATCAAGGAAGTGCTGGGATGGTAGGATTAATCCTTGAGATTGTGCTCTCGTTGTAGTTCTTATAATAACAGTACAACAAATTTGCAGAATCTGCAGTTTGGGACATGGTGGCTGGCTTCTTTGCACAAAGAGCATTCGTGAACAGTGAAGCACTTCTTGAGAAGGTATCTGGCAACATATGCAACAGCATTTTGTTGGACAATGCTGGAACTGACTTCTTTCTCTCTGTAGTCTGTTACTCCTAACACCAATGTTTGTGGTTGATGACCTGGTCTCACCAATGCTGCATTGTTAGAGCGGTTTGAAAGTTGGGAAAGGAGTGAATCCAAATCTTGTGCACAGTTACCATTGCCAGAGGTGAAAAGAGAACTGAAGTTTCCTAAAGGCCCTAGTGAACTGTATTGGTGTAGGGTTGTCACTATTCCCTCCCTGTTGCCTTATTGTACCAAAAAAGCTACAGCACTTGCATTTTGGGTGTGGAGAAGAAATTTTAGTTTTAAAGCAAAAGTTAACCCCTCAATGCAAATGACAATTTTCTTGCATTTTAATTGAAAGTCATAGTTTTCTCAAATATATTTAATTTAATTTATAAAATAGGTATTAAGTGAGTTCAGTAATTATAAAAAGAGAAATCTACTTTGGACTGTTTTTGACAATTTTGCCTGTTCTGCAAAACAAAGATATACACACACAAATTGTTTGGAAAAATATAAAAAAATATAAATATATTTATTGGCATACAAAACATTGTCACACTCAGTTTTCACTGCAAATAATTTCCATTCACTTCTTTCCCAACACTAATATTTCTATCTCTGTGTGGAAATTCCAGTCATTTGTAACCATAGTACTCTATATAGATCTATTGCAATGGCAAACTTGTAAAATAAAATAAAATAACCATCATTGTTTGAGCAAATAACATCCATGAAGATTTATTTTATAAAGAAATCACATCATCCAAAATTTGTATCAGTAGCGTAGCCAGCCCGACGATTTAGTCCCGCTATGCAAATATTTTCGTGGTCATTGACTGTGAAAACAATCAATTTCTAAAGAAATGAATAATGGTAATAATTTCGAATTTGCATAGCGGGACTAAGTTGTCTGGCTGCGCTCTAGACAACTGGCTGCGCTCATAGCGGGACTAAGTTGTCTGGCTCGGGCTGGCTGCGCCACTGATTTGTATACAATGATATGTACAGTACTAATTCTAATAAAAGCCAGGACTAGAACTCTGATTGTCATCACAGCCATTTCCTTTCTGTCAAATGTTTTTGTGTATAACAGGTCCAAATTATAATAGTTTTGTTTGTGGAAACACCACGTAAATTTATTAATTATTAATAATAAATTTACGTGGTGTTTCCACAAACAAAACTATTATATTTTATCACCATGCAAACATACAAAGAACTTAGGTCCAAATTAGTTGGTGCTAATTTGCTAAAGAGCCTCCAAAGTGTGTCCATCACATTCCATTCTTGCACAGAGTTTCCTATGGACTACATGTTAAAGCTTTTTCTGAGGATGCGTATATATTACACCATCAACTAACTTCAACTAAAAAAGGAAGAAAGAGCAGAAAGTACATTAAATTAAAGTTAGCCATCTATAAACTAGCCTGCATATAGCAGTTTATAAACTATATTCTACATAGTTTGATGCCATCTGGGCTGCATCTGAATAAGTTGGGCAAAATTTAGTAGAAAAATATCTAATTCAAGAAAACAGTGAACTTAAAAAGACATGTTTATTAAACTTGGCAGAGAAATGGTGATGAAAAGACATATATACTGACACTGTAATGGGCCATTCCATTTATTAACCGCACCCCCCCTATTGAGGGTTTACAAAAAATACCCCCTGGATATTGCTTTAGTAATAGGGTATGTGGATTTCTCATTTTAACATTTCCCGTGGATTTTCTAAACCTTTGTTAACCTATTGAGGGTTAAACATAATTTCTCCCCCTGGATTTTTGGATTTTGTTAAATTTGTTCAATGGATATTTTGCATATGTTCTTTGAAATAGAATTAATACACAAATAAATTCACTGATAAATTTACTGCCATGAATAAATAAATTTACTACCATGGATTTATTTTGTTTAAATTTTTTCCATTTGGATTTTTATTTGGATTTTTTTATATTTACCCATGGATATATCTTGAAAAATTTCTTTCTCCTAATGGATTTTTGTTCTTTGGACCCCCTGGATATCCCAACCCTCAATAGGGGGGGTGCGCATATTAAATGGAATGGCCCAATATACATCAGAGATACTGTATATCTATTGCAAGAATGAGTTCATGAATTGTCAAAGTGTACATGGATTGTAACTTTCATAGTTTATAAATTTCGTTTGAAGTAATATTCATGTTACTTTCGAATGAAAACATACAGCAAATGGGACGAAAAGCTATGTTCTTTTATGTCTGGCTGGCCGAACTAGCCATATTTAAGAGCACAAAATTTGACTTAAAAAACACTTTCAGGGCTAATAAAACAGATAATAATACTTTCTTACCTTTCTAATTTTGATTTCTGACCGTAAACGTTGAATTCAGGTGTCCAAAACCGGTAAAAATGAAGTTTTTATGCGCGCGATGCCAATTTCACAATACATTTTCTATTCGTTCTGGCTGCACTTTACTGGCCAGAGTAATGGCAGCCAACCGGAAGTCGCACCTGTCGGTGGCATCAAAAACTTCAAAGGAGTGAGCCATCTATTCATTTCTTAATCTCAACCTCGTTCCCAGGGTCTCTCCGTCTGTCATCTGGGAGAGACCCTGGCTGCGGCTGGTCACGTGCCTCCCAGATTCTGGGAGGTAAATTTAATTGTAACTGTGAGAGGGGTGGGAAAGGAGAGTGTTTGTAGCGTTTTAAAATTGCAACTTTGGGTGATGAAATTTACTGTTAAATTTGCAACAAGAAATCGTAATTATAAAGAGAACTCTTGAATTATATTTATGTCGTGACGTTCTACTCTATAATCTGGTGTCGAGTTACAATTCAAGCAAGTTGGATCAGATTTCATTATAGACTTGCCAAAGAAAGCACGCTTGCCGCTTGTGCAGCGTGGCAATATTAAACTGTGATTAAACCTACAAGAAAATATATATCTCTAGACCGAACAGTGTGGTTGTTATTTATTTAGTATTAAAGTTTATCCTGATACTCGGACCAAAAGAATTTATTTATTGATGAGATGTGGAATTGCAACGAAATAGCGAGATCTTTTGATTTCCGAAATATCGCCAACTGTATCCAGATTGTTGATCTATATAAAGGCCTTATCAAAAAACTTAAAGCCAGTCAAAAGACTATAAAATTGGCCCTTGGCATTGCTGAATCCAACGATCATGGTATATGTCAAAGTATAGCTGTCTGTTGAAAATCTACGGTATTAAAATCATACACCAAAGATAAGTCAAACGGCAAATTATATGTCACTGTATTATACATGTCTTTCAATGAGCACTGTTTAGTAGTGTTCACCACCTTTATAAATTTTGTAAACAGCTTTCGTTTTGACATGAATAAGCTTTAATTTTTTGCTTTATATGCATTCTTAATATATACAAGTGAGATTTAAATTTTTGCTTTGTGAAATAGAATACCGTTATTTTTTAATGGACAGCTTGCATCGTCTATATCATATCCAGGATTGCTTGTGCGTAAACGCATTATTCACTATATGACATTGACACTATCAAATAAATATAAGTAGCAAATGATTAATGAATTAGAGATAAACAGGTGATTCACAATGAAAACTTTAAAAATGTTAGTAGAAGTAGAAAACTCGAAAATTTATGTCTATTCGTATGACGCCAAATGACGGTCTGTGCGCATCTGACACTGTAAATTTGTGATATAGATTATAGTATATTAGCACAATATAATGATTACAGTAATAGAGACCAAGAAAAAGGCTAAAGTCTTACTATAATTACCGAATACGAATTTATGTAGTAAATCCAGATAAATCAATGACTGAAATTTCCTCTATGCTTATGGACATTTCTCTGTTCGGCTATTATCAAATGTTTACATTTGCTAATATTTGGGCCAGTCCTAGACAATACTGTTTCTTTTAAAAATCTTATAAACAAGACGCGTAGTAACAAGTGAATCGGTGCAAAGCGTATCAACGTTTACAAGAAAGGACAAATGTAATGGCCTATTTTAAAAACATTACAACAAATAAACGTTTGTTATAACCGCGCTCGAGTGTGAAGAGAGCATGCATTGAATAACAACACGAGAGAGCACTGCGAGTAACGATTTGCTTGGTTTCTTGACTTGACTGTAAGTAAGAATGTAACAATGTTCTTGTAAATTCAAAGCAAAGAAAATAAACAAAAATTAGCAAGTATTTTGAACGTAATAATTCGCAAAATCTATGTTTTTGACGAATATCCCGCTGGAAGCATGTTGATGTAATTTGATACTTTCCCCACACCCCCTCAGGCGCTAAATTTTTGATGAAGCACGTGACCAGCCGCAGCCAGGGTCTTTCCCAAAGAAAGATCCTGGGTACGAGGTTGTGTTTAAAGCAGTTTTGACAAGCTTTGAACAGTTCTGTTTACAGAATACTACAGATTGATTCTCGTAAGATGTGGTAGAGTTATCGTTGCACTGAACAAGAGTTTACACCGTTGACAACGGCGTTGTGCTACAGTAAACAAAGACAAGGCCCGTGACGGTACACGTTGGCTACATGTACCTCCTTGCTTTTTTTTCCTATTGCATAAAGCTTGTTGGCGAGCCAAGCGATTGGCGATAACACGTTGGTGATAACGCATTGGCTATCTCCTCGTCTTTCTTATTTAATTAAGGAGCTCTGACTCGCAAGTTATTTTCTTCGTAAACGCCGTACAAACGTTTACCCGCTTCTGTTTAATAGTTGTTTCGCTCTTTGTACTGAGCGTAGCCATCTATTCTGTGATGTATACACCTTATACAGTCAATGACAATGTATGAATACACGTTCTAAATAATATCGATGGGCACTTAATTGAATACCGGTAATGCACAACATATTAATACTACATAATAGTATTATTGCGTAGAATCTCAAAGGACAAATATTTTCTCAATATTCATGTCTGAAATGTTCATATACTTGAAAACAACACTGTCTCGCTTCTGCCTACGTATACTGTACCTCTGTATAACGAGTATGCCGTGAAAATAATATCGGCACTCAATTGAATGCCTAGAATCTCAAAGATTTTCTCAATATTTACGTCTGAAATGTTTATACATTTGAAAACAACACTGTCACGTTGCTCCTTCCTAGCTCTGTATATTAATGAATATACCGTCCACATATATCAGTACTTGATTGAAAGACCGTCATGCATAACATAAATTTATATATTGCGTAGATTCTCAAAGATTTACTCAATATTCACGTCTGAAATGTTTAAATTAATACATTTGAAAACAACACTGTCGCTCCTTCCTAGCATCGTGATCTACGGCTTCATAGCGCATGTGCATTTGCCCTGCTATAGAAAAAATCGGGTGTTCCGGGGGGAAAGATCCTTTACACAATATGAGAAGCGAATGTTCTGAAATTACAAAAATTTACAATAACGACAACGATTCCTCGAAATTTTTGTGAACTTGGCAAAAGGACAAAAGAATATTTAAAGAAAATAAATAAAATTGCTTAAATAACCTTCAAAGCACTGACTAAGTACAATAAATCACTGCGAACATAAATCGTATACACCCCCCGGAAAGTTTACTCTATGACTGACTGAGTGACTGATTGCCTGACTGACTGATTGCCTGACTGACTGATTGCCTGACTGACTGATTCATGTGAATTCGCCAGCCATCACAACAGTGTGAAGTGAAACTTCACACTAAAAACTACAGTTTATGCAAAATACTATGATTGTCTCCCTTGTTGAAATATAGTTAAAGTATTTTTTCTTAATTATAGTTATTTTTAAAGAAATTATAATAGAAAATAAACTTTTGATAAAACTATATAGTTTTCAAAAATCAACTACTATAGTTTCTGAAAAATACTATAGCTGTTTTCCTAAATAAACTATGGTTTAAATTAAGATAACTTTCGTAGCACTTTATAGTTCATATTTTAAAGAAACACAAAACAAAATTGTAAACATTTTTAAAGAATAAAAATAGTTACAATTTTCGGAGTATCTATTGTTTTGTGTTATATTAAAATACTCTATCAGTATGGCAACCATACTTTTTATAGACCAGTGCATTTATGAGAGTCATTCACCCTCTTAATGTCTGCAATTTTGAATATGTTCAGGAAGGTGAATGCATTGACCTGTAAATAAACTGGAAGGCTATTACTGCTATGATGAAGGCCTATGATTTGATGAAGCCAAAAAAATCTGAGCATGAGCAGAAATACTTGATCCCAAACGTTGGGCTAAACCTCCGACTATAAGCCCTGGGCTTATATTCTTTCGTAAGCGTAATAGCGTAATTAAGTAATAATTAAAGCGTAATTAAGTAATTTTTGATTGGCTCATACAAAAGGGGGCTTATATACGGGGGGGGTGCTTATTTATGGACGATCTTTTGTGTTAGTGTAATAGTGATAAACAAGTTTTGTAATAGTGATAAACAAGTATTAAGCACAGTAATAATAGTGATACGGTGTGAAAATTTCAAGACTTCAGCGAAAAGAGAAATATTTAGTAAAAAAAATACAAAAACAACTGCTTGAAATTTCTACACCAAATAGCGTTTTTCAATAGCTTCAGTTTCATATACAGTGTTGAGTATTTCTGCTCATAACTCAGAAAAACTAAAATGCACTGGCTTCAATCCCCCGAGGATGTCTTTAATACATTTGATTTTCCGGTTGTCTTTGCGGATGCGTGGATTGTCGAAGTCAAGGACATTGAAAACGAAGGCACGTAAGCTGTTTTTTGCTCGTTCGACTGTAGTAAAACCATTCTTTAGCCAACCGTTCTTGTTAATTTGTTCCCATGCTCAGATTGCATCTGCTGAAAGTATTTGGGAACAAATTAACAAGAACGGTTGGCTAAAGAATGGTTTTACTACAGTCGAACGAGCAAAAAACAGCTTACGTGCCTTCGTTTTCAATGTCCTTGACTTCGACAATCCACGCATCTTCAATCCCCCCCCTGAGTTAGCCTTCCAGTTTACCTATAGCACCCATTTTGAATATTTTCAGGAGGGTGAATGCCTCTCATAAGCGCACTGGCTAGGAACAGGGCGACAACATTGCAACGGGTACTGCAGAGTAATCATACGCAAAACCAAGAAGTCGGCCTTCTGTAACGTCTGTATTTTGTAATAACACTTCTTGAAAAATTTGTCGAGAAAAAGACGCCGTGCAGTCAAAAAGCACATCAAGGAAAATATACGAATTTTTAGATATACTTATGATTCTCCATGAAACGAACTAGAGAGACCACACAACAAATCGTAGCAAGAATTATAGCAGCCATCAAGGAACCTATATAAAGAAAAAAAACATAAAAATGATAAATAACTTTATTAAATATTCGTCCTTCACCTTCAGTTTCAAACATATTTTCCACATAAATGAGCGACGTTGGTGCGATTAAGGTAATTCCGCAGTTTTGCATTGCGCACTTTTACTGCGCACATCTTATAACTTATAATTTCATCCATTATACGTACTGTTTAAAAAAATTATCATTTTATGACAATTTTATGTTACTTCAAAACATCTTTGGTTACATTCTTGCAAAGAATTACGTTAAAAGCAATGTTTTCAAAAAAGGCATACAAAAGTGAAGCTAGGGTTCCTGTGTCTGTAGTGTATTCAGTTTACTTGTGTTTCACGTTTTAATGCCACAATTCCCTAAAAAACGGTGACCCCCGTTTTTTAACTGATAATTTATTTCTTTAATGCATTTTACATTTCATATCCGAAATTAAAAGAAAAATCATTTCTGGATCTTGAAAAAAAATGCTTTATCAATGCATGTTCTCAAAGAAAGATATGTAAAGAAATGTGCAAAAGACATTTATGGATCAGAATTGTACACGTTAGTAGTTTCATTTTGCTCAAAACACAATATTTTTCAAAAATAATTACAAGATAGGTTTACTAAAGCAAAATCCGCGCTAAAAACGTCAATAAATATCGGGCTGTTGTGAGTTTGCTGTTACTCGTAATGAGCGTCAAGATGGCGCCATATTGGGGTAAAGGTGGTATATTGTGATTGTCATATCTTCTTAACGAGTTCGGTGACCCCGACTTTTTTTGTGATTTTACT